GGGCTATTAACTACTAACTTCAAGTAATCAAGCCAACAAAACCTGGCTCGGATGGGTGGTAGGGATGGGTCAGGGACAACTTAGGTACGTATCAACTTCCCAAATATCCCCAGGCCTCGGCTGGGCAGGATGGGAAGGGCCTGGGATATACTACTGACCAAGCGTCCAACTACAACAACAATAACAATAACAATTTTAACAGGTATGTCCCATATGAACCCAGGCTTCGGATGGGAGGTTGGGAAGGGCCTGGGCTATTCCTACTAATCTAGCTACCAACTACAACAACTCCCGGCCTTGGATGGGTGGTAGGGACGGGCCTGGGATATATACGATTCAATCTCCTTGTTCTTGGTAAGTGGTCTCCTGGTTTATATGTCTGCCGCAGATGCACCACTGACGATGGATTTTCTTGGGATCAAACCAACGATCACTACGCTGCAGGACACTACTGGGTTATGGTGCTATACTCTTTTCAACATAAATCTGCATGTCTCATACACCTAAGGTAGCGGTCATTGAACGAATGAATGACGGTCAGAATTCTTGAACTATCTGCAATCTCCGGCATCACGCCATTCAAGCTCGTAATTACAAACGATTAAAAGAATATAAATAGAAAAGACGGATAAGGGCCTATCTTTCAAGGTGTCGGGTCACTACGCTAACATAGGCATCATTAAATGGCTATCATAATGTTGAAAAAACATTCTGTTGGAGAAGGGAGCCGGCATCAACTTCCAGGGTGGATTCTATGGCGATGCCCTGCAGGCTGCCTACGAATAGCATCTGTTCTCAGTGGGTGAAGAGAGCGTGCTGAAGCTGATAGCATGCTGCAGCAGTTTGCTTCATACACCGCCACTTCCTTTACTTCGCTTATCCCTCGTTTCTGCCTCCCATTGCCCTTCGGCCGAACAGATGCAAGGGGTGCTCGGCGCTGATGGATTATTGTGCCCTAACTTGGGTTCCTAATGATACGGAGAAGATAAAAAGAAGTCCCTCGCCATCCCAGTGCGCAAATGCATACTCAAATTGCAACCATGTCGTACCGAAACCTACCGCATCTTCTCGAAGCTATTGCTTCGCGGGAACCTTCACGCTACATTATCACATATCATCTTGGAAACACACATACGCCAGTGGTATATTCATACTCCGACCTCTTACGTTTAGCAAAAAAGGCCGCGGGAGCTCTTCGTTCAATATACCATGTCATCCCTGGATCGGTTGTTCTTCTACACTTTAACAACCATTGGGATTCAATTCTGTGGTTCTGGGCTACTCTCATGGCAGGCTGTATTCCAGCTATGTCGACTCCGTTCTCCAATAACCCTGAGACACGACTACGCCATTTAGAGCATCTGTCGGCCACTCTAAAGAACCCGAAATGCTTGACCACGGCTTCTCTGGTTGCAGAGTTTGCTGGCCAAGAATGCATTACACCGATCTGCGTGCAATCGCATGATTACGAAAACTCGGTACCTTTACCGGCCGATGGGCCCAATGGCGACGACATTGCAGCACTGATGTTTACGTCTGGAAGCTCAGGCCACTGCAAGGTTGTGCCATTGACCCACGAGCATATATTGGCCTCAATCTCGGGAAAGACAAGAGCCTTTCCGCTGCCAGAGAACACGTCGCAGCTGAATTGGATCGGCATGGATCATGTCGCCTCTCTGGTAGAGGTTCATGTCTTTGGTATCTACAATCATCGTGACCAGGTCCATGTCCCAGCAGCCGAAATCTTGTCCCACGTTACTCTGTTCCTCGACTTGATTCATCGCCACCGTGTCTCTAAGACATTTGCGCCTAACTTCTTCCTCGCGAAACTGTGCGCCGCACTCAGCGCGGATGATGCCTTGGCCGCCAAGTATACTGGGAATCTCAGCAGCCTGCGGTATATCGCCTCTGGTGGTGAGGGGAACGTTACCCAGACCTGCCATCACCTGGCCCAGATACTGGAGCAGTATGGAGTTGTCTCGGACGTAATTAGGCCAGGATTCGGCATGACGGAGACTTGTGCAGGCGCCATCTACAATACCTCCTTTCCGCAATACGATGTCGACCACGGACGTCCTTTCGCTTCCGTGGGCACCTGCATTCCAGGCATCCAAATGCGAATTACCGGAAGTAATGGAGAAAGCAACAGTCTTCCTGCAGGTACAATAGGCAATCTCGAGATCTGCGGCCCGGTGGTCTTCAAGGGATATTTCAACAATCCCGCTGCGACCAAGTCCTCATTCACCAGCGACGGTTGGTTCAAAACCGGCGATCGAGGCTTCATTGACGACAATGGAATGCTGGCACTTGTTGGATGCGAGAAGGATAGCATCATTGTGAATGGGGTCAACTACAGTCCATACGATATCGAGTCCGCCGTCAACGAAGCAAAGATCCCCGGCCTTGTGTCTGGGTTCACTTGCTGTTTCTCCATCTTCCTGCCCAGCGCAGACACGGAGGAGGTCATCATTATCTACCTCCCGAATTACTTACCAGAGGACACAATCACACGCTCTGAAACCGCGGCCGCGATCAGAAAAGTGGCCATGATGACCGTCGGCGCGCGTGCCACGATTCTCCCGCTCGACCGGGCAATGCTCGATAAATCGACTTTGGGGAAGCTCTCCCGCGGCAAGATCAAGGCTGCGTACGAACGAGGAGACTACAAGACTTACCAAGAGGTGAACGAGGAGATGATGACTCTACACCACAAAGCATCACGTCATCAGCCACGATCGGATCTCGAACAGAGCCTGGTATCCGTCTTCACCAGCACGATACCCGAGAACCTCACCGAGGACTTTGACGTGTTGACGTCAATATTCGATCTGGGAATCACATCCATCGAGCTCCTCAGGCTGAAAAGAGGTATCGAAGATCACCTAGGTCATGGAGAGATTCCTCTCATCACTCTTATGACAAACCCCACAATCCGGGCACTGTCAGACGCACTGGAGCAGCAGTACTCCCAACACAGCAACTGCGACATGTACGACCCTGTGGTGATACTGCAGAGGCAAGGCGAAAAGCCACCCCTCTGGCTCGTCCACCCAGTCGGCGGAGACGTCATGATATTCATGAGCCTAGCGAAATTCATCGTCGATCGACCCGTGTACGGGCTGCGAGCACGCGGGTTCAACGCCGGCGAGGAGCCATTCCACACGTTCGATGAAATCGTCAGCACATATCATACGAGCATCAAGGAAAAGCAACCGAGTGGCCCGTACGCAATTGTCGGTTACTCCTACGGCGCGAAACTTGCATTCGAGATTACGAAGGCCCTAGAGCACAACGGAGACGAGGTGCGCTTCCTCGGTTTGTTGGATCTTCCACCTATTCTGAAGGGCACGCACATGCGTGCAGTCGCCTGGAAGCAAATGCTGCTCCATATATGCTCTACGGTTGGGCTGATTCGGAAGGAACGCGTCGAAGATATATCCTCGACGCTGGAAGAGGATAATATCTCTCCCAGTCATGCGGTAGAAATGGTTCTGGGTGAGGCTGATGTCACGCTGTTGAGGGAACTAGGGTTGACAGCGTCCACTTTGGAGAGATGGGTTACCTTAACAAATGCTCTGCAGGATTGTATGGTCGATCATGAGACGAGTGGCTCTGTTGCAGCCATTGACGCGTTTTATTGTGATCCAACTGCTACGACGGCGATATCGAACGAGGAATGGGCACACGACTATATCGAGAAGTGGAGTGAGCATACGCGGTCACCACCGAGGTTTTATCACGTTGATGGGACGCATTACACCATGCTGGATGCAGAACACATCTTTTCGTTCCAGAAGAGATTGCGGGGGGCGTTGAATGATCGGGGGATCTAACCCGGGGTTTAGGGGGTTAGATGCATGGTAGATATAGAGAGAAAGCGAAAGAGAAAGATAGTTGCACTCTAATATGATATCGATCGCCTTAGAGCTATTCAAGTCTGCAGCAAGCAATAAGCTAAAATTTGTTGGTAATCTCGGGATATTGTTGAGCGTTGTTTCTTCTATATTTTAAGCTATAGATAGCATAATGATATTTAGATATTACCTAGTTTAAGTAGTACTAGACAGCGATTAACTATATTATTCATATGTGGGTTACTAATATCGCAGTGAAATGATAATCGTAGTACTAGTACTAAAAGTAGTCCATCAAAGATATTGAATTAAAAAAGGATCATAACTAACTTATGAAAGGTATGACTCTTCATGCCCTAACCAGGCAAGACACCATACACACTCTAAACCACCAACACAGATTTAGATCTAGAATCCAACAGAAACCTCAAACCCACCGTCAATCTCCTGCACATCGAACTGAACCTGTCCCACACAGTCACCATACTCATACGGCTTCCCCACGGTAGCCTGAACACCAGACTCGGTGGAGGTAGGGTTCAAGAAAGTAGCATTAGTAAACGGCAACGAGCCACAGGAATGTTCAGGCATGGCATTCCAAGGATAATACTCGACGAACCCAACCTGGGACTCCTTAATGCCTCCCGTTCCAGAGGGGAGTGTGTACTCTCCGATATGCGTCTCGTTGTTGCTGACGGTGTCCACGAGTGTTCCGGTCCAGGTTGTTCCCTCGGTGTTTTTGATGACGAGGTTATACATGGGAGCGTAGGGTGCCGGGATCTCGACGGCACAGCTCACGCCGGCACCGCCGTCGGCGCCATCGCTGCAGTTTTCGTCTTTGCTGGTGCTGCCGGGGATGAAGCTCGAGAAGACGGCGTGGACGATGCTTGCGCCGTTGGCGTCGGGCCGAGGTTGGAGACCTGTGTAGCCGACGTCGGAGACGCCGTTGAAGCTGAATTGCTGTGCGAAGTAGTAGCCTTCTTCGCGTGGGGCGTTGGCGATGGACATGGGGAAGGTGATGTCCTTCAGGCCGGTCGAGGGGATGTTGGAGGCGCTCCAGTCGAGACCGACCAGGGCTTCAGTCACGGGGAGAAGAGGGATGATAGCTGCCAGGGCGGAGATGGACTTCATGTTGGTGGTGTTGACGGTGGAGTATTAGGTTGAATACTATTGATCAATAGGGCAATGCGTCAGTATAGTTCCTTCACGCTTTCCGATCACCACCATCCAGGAATAACAGGGGACACACAGTTACAATGAATGTACAATCGGCCAGCGATCAGAGAAAGTCAAAAGTAAAACGAAATAGCGTCAAGGAGTGCGATGTGAATGCTCAGTCAGCTCTGCTAACGTTCTTCTTCAACTACAGGCTCGTCCAACAAACCCTATTTATACTTCAAAACCTCCATCGTTACAATCGCCAAATTCATACAAGCTACTGTACCATCGCCTACACTACCCCAACAAGTTACGATTGATAATCCGGGCCAAATGCCATTGCAACCCTGTTCCTGTCGGTACTCAAGATGAAACAAGCAATAGCCTCGGGTTCCAGATTAGCGTCGCTATGATTTGGCAGACGTGCCGATCAACTCGGCTACGATGCCAGGGGCCGTTGCGAACTCCACTGCCAGAACTTTATTAATGTTACATCGAACTGGTTCTCACGGCCTCCATCGACGCCAGTGTTTTAAGGGCCTTCGCTTAGATCTTGCTGTGAAACCGGTGCGGAGTTTGCGGAGTTGGCCCTTGAGATGGCGCCTATGGGCAGAATCATAGGTTCGTTCTACGAGCCATTGATTTCGACTTCGGTTAATTATCATATGATATATCCGATAAAGGAGCTGTTTTCGTGTTCTCCAATCAACATATTCTACGCCACAGTTGACTGATGTTGTCTGCTTCCAACCATGCCAATGTGAAACAATTATCTACATCTCCCGAAACATAGCGTACCAAACAAGCAACATCAGAAGAATCCCGAGGTATAAAAAACCAAAACAAGATCCAACTAAGCAGCCCCTTGGCAGCGAACTGCTCCGCCACGAACCGGATCTGTTCTGCCCTCGCGGCGAGGTCCACTTTGTTCCCAGACGCCGATGTGAAAAATTGCAGTTCCGACCTCTCCCTCTCACTCAAGCTCTCCCACAGTCCAATCGTCTTTGCTTCGGAGAATCTATACGAAGCCGCATATATAACATACACCCGAGCAATCGGGTTCAACAAGCTCGACCGCCAATCCACGTCCAGCCACTGCTTCCGAAGAGGCCAAGGAAACTTCCGCAGTGTCATGGCCTGCGCCCAGAAAGCTTGGAATGTGTAGCGCGCTCTTGTGCCACCGACAGCATGAACAGGACCTGTTGTTCCCTTCGCAAGGTGAACCAGCAGTCTATCCACGACGACATCGACGGGAACCTCGTCGATCGTTGACTCTGTTTCCGGGTCTTTTGCGCGGCTGGCCAAACGCGCGACTAAGGTGGGAGTCAGAATAAAACACGCCGCTAGCATAGTCGTTGGCGTGGATTTCGGCACGCTGAACCCCTGGTATGGGAAGGTCTGGGCGGGCGCGATCACTGACGGCCGGAGAATGAGAAGCTGGTCTGCTCTGCCGGCAGCGCTGAATTTGTCGAGAATGAGTCGCTCCGTGAGATGTTTGGCGTAGCGTACGGCCACGGGAAATTATGCGCGGCGTATTCCGGCGAGTCGCCTTCTCGTTGCACCTGCTTCCATTCGTCCCGTACATCGGATATCCAGCCGCGACCCAGAGGGTAGATTGTCTCCTTCACGTAGGGGTCGGTGTCATCCGACTCCTGGTAAAGGAAGGCGTTTACATACGCCGTGGAAACATATACGAAGCGATCGAGGCGTTGGCACTGGAAGGCAAACTGGGCGACGTTCTCGCTCCCGTGGATGACTGGTTTTGCTAACTTCTTCAGGGTGGTCATGAGCTTGATTGAGGATGCCGCATGGATAACGATATTAACGCGTTCGTATAATGCCTGAAGATGATCTACATCGATGCCGAGGTTAGGTTCGAGGATATCGCCTGGGATAACGGTGACAAGCTCGGGATCATAGAGGCACTCGATATACTTCGGGGGCAGGTATTGACGCCATACTTCTTCCAGACGCCTAATGTATGTCAGCTTGGGCCCAGTGCTTATACATTTGCAATCATACATACGGCAGGCCGCCCCTGCAGAGCAAGTATAGATGAGCCACAGGCGCTTGTGAGATTATGCGGTACGCCAGGGCCGTCCCCAGAAAGCCCGAGGCACCTGTGACGAACAAAACCTTTCCTGAGTAGTACTCCCACATGACGGTAGCATGTGCGAAGCATGTAAGCCAGCTGACAGAGGAATTTGGATTATTTATATGTGGGCTTTGACATGCTCAAGGCGTGGTGGGTCAGCATGCATATCATGCAAGGGGCGCCATCAACTATTGTCCGCCCATTTGTAATTTGTCACCCTCTCCTCTGTGGGCCAATATTTGGCTTTTGTGGCATTCAAAAGATAGACTGGCAGGTTTTGATCTTGGCAGCGAATATCTACGGCCATCCAGCGAACGGTTCCTGTACGTGAACCTTGGTACTGTCGTCGCGATAACAGGGCGAGCTGAACCTAGTGGGATTACTTGCTCTGGCCTTTCCTGTTATACTCGCCTATGCTTCTAGTAAAATCGCTCATTCCGCAAGATCTGGACAGTAATGCTGAATGAAGATGAATCCACGCTCATCTCATAGAACATTGACCTACCAAACCAACGACGTTTCAGTATAAACAATAAGGTGGTGTCAATTGGGACTGTGCCATGGGAAGTAGAACTATAACAGAATGCGAATATAGGGTGATCTTGAAACAACGAACTCGTCCAAAATCACCCAATGTTACTTACACTTGCCCTAGTCACGCAGACTTGACATGTCGATGGAAGAAATCGACATAATCAAACAGACTCCGCTTATACGTCCTGGTGAACTTCCCATCCGTCCGATTAACAGTCTGCAGCCCATACTGCTCCCCATAGCTCCCAAACTCATTGTTGTCAGCTATACTCCACGCCAACGCTCCTATAACATTCACATTATCCTCATGGATAGCCTTCAATGTCTCCGTAAGGAAGTCCTGGTAGTACAGCGTCCGTTCCAGATCATACCGCTGCGCATCATGAGTTCTGTTCGATTCAAGGAACGGGTTGAACCCGTATTCCGCGATCAGGATCCCCGACGGACGGAACGTATTCCAGATATAGCCCAGTTGCTGGCGGACGTACTGCGGCGCAAGGTACGCGTAGGCGTTCGACGCCTGTCCCATGAGCCACCCGTTGGCTTGGACGTTGCTCAGTGTTACGCAGGTGGGCCAGAGGGGGTCGGAGGAGTTGGAAGCGCAGGCGTCCGTGCCTTGTGGCAGGGGAGATGCGTACTGCGCTGTGTAGGGGTCGAAGGACCAGAAGTCTATCTTGCCATGGATATGCTTGATTTGGTCATCTGTGAGCGGCTCCATCATATCTGCTGTGTTTATGGCTGCATCTGGGTACTGTTTTCCTAAGAATAGTGGGTTCGACATTATCCCCAACAGGATGTCTTGGTATCGGGAAGCTGCGGCAATGTGCGAGGAGTTTTGTGTGTCCAGGGGCATGGCTAGGTTATTGGCGAATTTCATCGTGATTTTGCCTTTTCCGCCCAGTGTGTTCTTGTACCAGTCGTAGACGTCTGCATGGGCGATGAGTGCATTTGTCAGGTCTTGGTACTTCTGGAATAATGTGCCCACGCCGATGTTTGGCTCATTGAACGTCACCCAGTACGGGACTCGGTCTGCGTATCTGGTCATGACTATCTTGGCGTAGTAGAGGAAATGCTCGGGAAGGGAGTCCAGGTCTGCCTGGACGGACGTAGGCGCGTCAACGTGGTTCAAAGTAACGATCGGCGTCACACCATACTTCAGACAGGTGTTGATGAGATCGTCGTAGTGGTCTAAGCCTTCGGTATTGACGGGTGAACCAGCCACACCGAAGGGCACGATCCGCGGCCAAGACAGCGAGAATGAGTAGTATGGTATTCCGGCAGCTGCTAGTCTAGCGATGTCTTGCTCGTACATGAAGTAGTGCATGTTCGCTACGTTGGCGTCGCTTCTATCAGCGGTTTCCGGGGACAACGCATTGCCGATACTATCTAGGACACTGGGGCCACGACCTTCCAGTTGAAGACCGCCCTCTATCTGCCAAGAACTGCTGGAGACACCCCAGATAAAATCTGCTGGTAGTTTCAAGTCTGTATCCGAAGGCGCATTGTACAGTGCAGGGGGTAGCACCAGCTCAGCTTTCGCAACCGGGGTGGCAGACACTGTGGTGGTGAATGGCGGGGAGCTCACGAACGAATAGTTCTGCCAGAGATTTACGTACGCACTTTGACCATACTGGCCGTCCGACGTGATCGTTGCGGAAGGGTCGTATGAGTACGTAGTATAGGTAAGGTCGCTAGGCAGCAGAGTAGATACCTTGCTGAATGGTGGCGCGATTGACGTTGGAAATGATACAGACGTCGATATCGGCGTGGCATAGGCATCTGAGGTTAGTTGGGTGTATGTGAACGAAGAGTAGGTCAGTTGGGAAGAGGCAAAGATGTGAGGACTAGCAAAGCCTGTGCTGACCCAAGCTAGGGCGACAGATCCCGCCACCAACCAGTTCCGAGATATAGCCATAATGCTAAGCGTGTGAGCTTTTCCACCGTGGAGTACCGATGCATTGCTCCGGCACCGCACAGCTTAAATATGCGCAGATCACTGAGGGAATTTCGGACTAGACGTATGACAGCGTCGGATCATCCGGTATTCCTCCACACTCGGATTGCGGGGTGACAATAATCTCGGGCTCAAACTGCCGGGGTCATTTTCCGTGTAGTCTCGTTTTCCAATCCATCTTCACGGTTATACCGGGGTCTTGTATGTCTGAGAGTCAGAGAAGGGAAACATTCTAAAAGGAACAGGCCGTTGCGCCGTGAATGTTCCATACAGGAGAGAAGGCACAAGCAGGTTTGTAAACACCACCTTTATCTCTTTCCTCCGCAGGGCTCTGTATACTAGAAACATTTCGTAACTGTTCAACAGCTGTTGGGCATTGAACAAGTTTCGTTCCATATGGCCCCACCCATGCTGCAGCGCGGAGGTACGACGACTCAACGGGCAAGAAATGAAGTCACTCCCTTCCTTTCGGATGAGGTTGAACCGAGACCGAGTACGGGGAGGTTGATCTGCATCAAGAGATTGAGTCAAGGAAGTATGCGGGGTGGACAAATGTGGAGGAGATCCGCACGATGCATCCACCAGTTCGATAGAGCAGAAGCTCAATGGTCGAAAGCGAGCCCTAATTGACAGGAAGGTCGTATTTGCCGAAGTAACGCCGGCGAAATGCGGGGGAGACACGGCATCCCACAATCTCCTTACCACCACAAGTCGTCGTTGCAAGATCAAAGGAACAAACCATGTCATACTACCTTTCCATGGTAATAAGCGGCGAAGGCAAAGACCCCAAGCATCGATCTCACTGGGCATTCGCAATCCACCAGCCGGCACAAATCATCGGCGATCTTCTCCACGTCCGACCCATTGATTTAAGGCGGTTGTGGTACGAATTCGAACATCGCTCGGACTCGGAACTCATTCTGGTGGATGCGATAGGATTGGCGAAGATTGCAGAGCTGGATGGCCCACAGCGCCTGCAAGCAATCAGTGTGATCAGAGATGAAACGGCCCCGAAGGATGGCGTGAGAAGATGCCAGGATTGGGTCTTTAGTGCTTTGATCGCGCTTGAGGTGGAGGAACTTGTTCCGGCTGGAACGTCCGAGTTGTGGAAAGGGCTGATGGGGAGAACGGCGACGGAGGTAGAGGAGGCTGTTGGACCGAAATGGACGAGTTTCCGTGGATCTCATAGTTCGCTGCGGTAGTTTTCTGAAAGGTATGTTCTTGTATCCATTGATGAATTCAGTGAGATAGCGCAATCAAGTGCTCATGTCGTATAGGCGTCAAGGAGTATCCAAATGATAGTGATGGAGCTAAAGCATTATACCATACGTTTACGTGTACTAAATGGACTCGTGCGCTACGAGCTGAGGAAAGGCTTCGCCATCACAGCTCTTTACTCCACTGCCTCCCATTCCACAGTTTCTCAGTTGTCCACAACCAGTAATCTCGCCCCTTCATTAACCATACCAGGAAACTCGGCAATCGATACCCCATAGCCGCCCCGACACCTTTGCTCTTACCGATCGGGACTATTTGGGTCTCGCGGGTGTCTTCCTTGAACAAGCGATCCTCACCCACCGAGCCCTCATCCTCACCAGCGGCAAGGAGTAAGTCGCGCTTCATATTCGCGCAGAGGACTGGAATAGCTTCAATAATGAAGTGAACAGTTGGTCGTGCCCATGATGAAACATCACCAATCGCGTAAACACGGGGTCCGGCTTTATCAACCCGTAGAGTCGAGGGATTGGTGTCAACACAGCCATCAGGTGTCAGGAGAGATCGGTCAATGAAACCAGCATTCGCTCGAGTGCCAGTTGCGGGAATGTACAGGTCGGCTCCAAGCGTTTGCCCATCCTCAAGGGTCACTATCGTCTTAGCGGTCAAGGCATCCTTGCTGTCGGCACTGGCTACCACATTTTGGACTCGCGCACCTTTAATGACGGTCACGCCTACTTGGGCAAGGTACTGCTCTGCCAGGCTGGCGAGGCTAGAGCGCAAGAGTGGGAGGATCTGAGGCCCAGAAGTGACGACAGTGATCGGCACCGTAGGGTTTACCAACTTGGAGCGAAACCACCAAGCGCGGCCATTCAAATGCTCCCCAAGCTCACCAGCTGTCTCGACTCCGGCCGGACCGCCACCAGAGATGAGGATACTCTTGGCTGTTGGCAGGGCTTCACGGAACGAAGTCCAATTTGCCCGTAAGTCCCCGACGTCGCGATTCAGACCAAGAAGGGGAGAAGGCGTTGATGCACCAGTCGCGATCACAAGCGCATGGAAATCAATCGTGTCTATAGTGTCTTTGGCGGCCAAATTCACGGTAATATTCCGGTCGGTATGATCTAGTTGTGTTACGGTGCCGTGGATGAAGCGAAAGTTGCGAATTCGGTCGTCTTGATACTGCTCGAATACTTTGGAGATTTCGACGAAAAGCTTCTCCTGGTCAAAAAGCTCGTCCGAGATCAGCGCACGGGGGCAAGCAGATCTGCACAAGGCGTGTGAGGATGCGCTAATCAAAGTGACCTGATATCCTTCTGGATCTGGTAACTTGGGTACCACGTGTTTTAGAAGGTAATGGGCCGCAGACACGCCTGCGTAGGAGCCACCGAGAACAACAATGTTCCGACACTCTGCTATCACCATGTTTACAGTGGCTTTCGTTCTCAAATTGAAAGTCAACGATAGTGGGCAAGATTGTGAATGTGCGGGTCAAATCACAAGGCAAGACTCAACAGCTGCACAGATACTCTAAGAGCATAAAAAAGCGCACATCGTTCCGCTCCGGTGACTACCACGCTTTATAGTGAAATATTGCGTGTTAGTTGTCATGAATCTGCCTGATGTTGTTCGGGCTTCGGGGCTTCAACCTTCCGAGGGATATAGGCAGCTTAACTGACGCATCGGCCTCGTAAGCGCTAGCATGTAAGAGCGTACTTTTGCGTGGAAGCTGGAGACTAACTAGCACTATTACCGACCGTATGTGACTATCAAAGCCTGAGATCTCGGTGAGCTAATATAACCTTCTAGCAGCCAATGTGTTAATCCCGACAATCTAATCGGTATATGTTCACTTCTATAGTAGTTTATCCTCGCAGGCAACGTCAGCCCCTTGGGTACAGAGGAACAGGAAAAGCCACTATATGGGCAGGATCCGGGCGTCGGGCTCCGCTCTGTACAAAGCCTGTGGCGTATATTATTTGACCAATCTATTGAACCATGGGTGAAAGTAAAAAGTAGCATATCATCACAGTCGTGCGTCTATGAAGGGAAGAAGGAAACGTCGCCATAGGTGTCCCTCTATTCATTACTCGCTATCACTTGCGCTGTCATGAACAGAACCATTGCCCGCGTCATCTCTTAGACCCTCTGCAAGAACGTATTCGGTCTGCTGGAGAATGGACTTGATCTCCGGATTGTTGTACACAAGGTCCGCGGGTTTTTGACCATGCTTATTCCTGACACGAGGGTCACAGCCAGCGTCGCACATCATCTTGATCATCTCCAGTGCGAGTTCGGGCTCGCCCTTCTCATTGGCGTAGCGTACAGCAGTGTGGAGGGGGGTATCTTTGTCGAGGCGGGTGAGAGGGTCGCATTCAAAATATTGGATATCGAAGAGAGAGTCCATCGTGTCATCTGTCGTAGAGTACGGTTAGAATGAATTCCTTGGTTGCTTGTTTCACGACCAATAGTGGTCGCTGGGGGCTGTCCGTCATCCATCCGACTTACAGCTGCCATATGAAGCACAGATATGAAGAGCGTGGTTCCCCAATGGGTCTGTAACACCGTTGAGGAACTCGGCCACTTCTTCATTCGAATTCTCTTCCATACCCTCTAGGACTTGTTCAATCAAATGAGGCTGGTCTCGACGACAAGCCTCAACGACCAGTTCACGAGGAGATGCACCCTACTCGATCAATGATAAGCGGCCGACCTGATTTCTATATAGTCAACAAAGAAACGTACTTCGTCCGCCATGATTGCCTGAATTGGAGGTATTCCTAGTAAAGCAAAAAGATCTGTAGCCGCTTCGACTTGCGACTGGAAGAACAGTGAATGTGATAGAGACAGTAGCTAAGAATGGTATGACAATAGTACGGTAAGTCAACCGCGGAGGTAATAGGAAGCGGTGTATGCTAACACGGAGATCCCGGAAAATAAGATCTGGAAAAGGATGGTGAGCATACGGGGAAACAACAATTGGGAGATCTTTTGCAGCGTTCCCCAGCGCTCAAATTCACTAGATAACCATCGGGGGCTACTTACTAGAAGGGCTTTGGCTTTGTTCGTATATCAATTCTCTTGACAGATTTCCCCGCCGCGCTACGGGGTAAATGCATGTCTCCCGCTGCGATAGCCGCTCGGATTATGGATGTGCCGGTCCGCTTACTCGGTTTGCCCCGCGTCCCAATTGGCGCGTACCTCAGGCTAGGTATCTTTCTGCACCAGAGCCGCAAACCAAACCACAAGAGGTCTAAAGGCGGTGAGGTTTTTCTCTCCGCCAACGACAAGTTCTGTCCGATAAGGGTCTACAATGTGCATGAGCCCTTGCTGCGGAACTATAGCAGTAGTTACAGCTTATTCGAAGTGTCGTGATTGAATCCTACGTAGAAGGGAAGACCCGCTACGTCTTGATTGACTGAAAATAGCTCTCTTCCGACTATTGACATTTGAGTCTCCAGCGATAACTGTTCACAATGCCCTTGACCTGTTAGTTCACCCCTCCCCTCAGACTACCATGTCCATTACAGCACATAGCTAACCCTGGGGGCTTGTATTTCTTGCAGTCTGTCCTAATTGCAGTAATGCACTAACGATCTCCCGCGCGGACCCAACTCCAAGACACCCTCTGGGGGTCAATCGATTCGAGTGCCGGACCTGCCCCTATCAATATGTTCTGGAACAAAGTTACTTCGAGAAAACAGAGATGAAGCAGAAAGAAGTGGAGGATGTCTTTGGCGGGAAGGAAGAATTTGCGAATGCCGATAGCATGGCTAGTAAGTGATGTCAGTTCTCGAGAGTGACGCGGTTGAGGCTAACATATGCTTTCTCTTTTTCACCTACAGCCCAGTGCCCCGCCGAGAACTGCAATGGCGACCGTGCATATTTCTTCCAGCTGCAGATTCGAAGTGCAGATGAACCTATGACTACATTCTTGAAGGTGGGTGGCTTTCCTAGTTCATGCGAACGACTTGCATATAGCGCGCATACTGACTCGGTGGTCAACAGTGTACCAGCTGTGGTGCCCGATGGAGAGAAAACTGAAGTTTCACTTTCCGGCGTTCAAGAAAGGGAAATTTCCTATTCAATGTTCTTATGGTAAAAGTGATTTAAACTGGTGGGGAACGTTTAAAAGCGGTGTTGTTATGTTTTGGTTACAACTGTAGATGGCGGTTGTAAATGATTTCCAGGAGTATGGTGGTTTACTAGCTTAGCGATACCCCTCAATGGTTACTATGATGACTATCCGATCAACCAACTACTACATGCAGATACGTAGCTATGGCAGATCAACAGACAAAATTTTCTCTTAGCGGCGGCAGGTAATCGCCCGTTTAGGATTGGAGGAACGACCTCATCCATGGTAAGCTTGTGCGTTGTTCCCAAACACGGGAGTGCTCTCGAAAAAAATAATTTAATTAAGATTTTTTTATTCTTAGCTCCTTGCCCATATGAAAATTTTTCAACTACAACTGCGAGATTGTCACCGCTCAGGAGGGGCAACAACTGATCTTACCTAAGGGAACTAGTCAAAAGTCCGAGACAGTAAAGGATTCATCTCAATGAGGGGCACACACAGCAGCGATCATATATGAAAAACAAGAGGGAAAAAAAATTGAAATAGAATAGAATGAAAAATTTTTCTAGGTCATTGATTAGTCTGTCAACCTTGCCTCTTGCCTCCTAAGAGCATATGCATCGTGAGATATGAGAGGAAAAAAAAAAAATAGATTCCTTCCCACTGTGGATCAGACGGGCGCCACTCGGCCAGGCCACAGGGGTTCAGATGCAAACATGTACAACACGCAGCAAACGAAGCAGCCCACCACTGCGTTGATGCCCAGTGTGTCTGTCCAAAATCCACATCACAATCAGAGGCAAGAAAAATTTTTTGTCGTCGAGGCAGGATAGTGACCGGTGGTGGGGTCATTGTCGGGGCTCCGAGCGAAAGGGAACCAAGGAAACGCAAGATCAACGAGGTTGGTGTACCCAAAAGGCCGCAGCAACGCCCAAAAGTCGACAGTCTGGAAGAGACTCCGCCGTGCAGATTCTGCGTCGGTCCCGCACATGCGTGGTGGGGCATTACCCCTCCATGTCCAATGATAAGGGCGGCGGTCGAGGGCTTAAGCCCGCCCACTAATTCGCCTTCTCGCTTGCCCCTCCATATAAGGATTCCCCCTCCTTCCCCTCCCACAACTTTTTCTCTCTTTCTCTCTTCGTCCGCATCAGTACGTATATCTCTCGCCCCTACCTGATTTCCTTTCCCTCATTCTCTCATTCAACTCTTTCCTTACTGACATCTGTTTTGCTCAGTACCTCTACGCGATCAGCCGTAGTATCTGAGCAAGCTTTTTCTAAAGAACCTTTCTAGTATCTTACAAAGAACTACAAAGTTCAAAAACCTTCACAATGGGGTAAGTTCATCATACTTGCGAGTCCCCAGTATTTATTGGAGCATGACTGATCAGTATCCTCTTGCCACAGTAAGGAAGACAAGCAGCACATCAACATCGTCGTTATCGGCCACGTCGATTCCGGCAAGTCCACCACCACTGGTCACTTGATCTACAAGTGTGGTGGTATCGACCAGCGTACCATCGAGAAGTTCGAGAAGGAAGCCGCTGAGCTCGGTAAGGGTTCTTTCAAGTACGCTTGGGTTCTTGACAAACTCAAGTCCGAGCGTGAGCGTGGTATCACCATCGATATTGCCCTCTGGAAGTTCCAGACCTCCAAGTATGAGGTCACCGTCATTGGTAAGCATGGAGTTGCAACCTACCCTATTCACGCCGCAGCCATCTGACAAAGCTCAATAGATGCCCCCGGTCACCGTGATTTCATCAAGAACATGATCACTGGTACCTCCCAGGCTGATTGCGCTATCCTCATCATTGCCTCCGGTCCTGGTGAATTCGAGGCTGGTATCTCCAAGGATGGCCAGACCCGTGAGCACGCTCTGCTCGCTTTCACCCTCGGTGTCCGTCAGCTCATTGTTGCCCTCAACAAGATGGACACCAACAACTGGTCCGAGGACCGTTACAACGAAATCGTTAAGGAGACCTCCAACTTCATCAAGAAGGTCGGCTACAACCCCAAGGCTGTTCCTTTCGTCCCCATCTCCGGTTTCAACGGTGACAACATGATCGAGGTCTCCACCAACTGCCCCTGGTACAAGGGCTGGAACAAGGAGACCAAGGCCGGCAAGTCCACCGGTAAGACCCTGCTCGAGGCCATCGATGCCATTGAGCCCCCAGTCCGTCCCACCGACAAGCCCCTCCGTCTTCCCCTCCAGGATGTCTACAAGATCTCTGGTATCGGTACTGTGCCCGTCGGCCGTGTCGAGACTGGTGTCATCAAGCCCGGTATGGTCGTTACTTTCGCTCCTGCCAACGTGACCACTGAAGTCAAGTCCGTTGAAATGCACCACCAGCAGCTCCAGGCCGGTAACCCCGGTGACAACGTTGGTTTCAACGTCAAGAACGTCTCCGTCAAGGAGTCCGCCGTGGTAACGTTGCCGGTGACTCCAAGAACGACCCCCCCATGGGCTGCGCTTCCTTCACGCCCAGGTCATCGTCCTCAACCACCCCGGTCAGGTCGGCGCTGGTTACGCTCCCGTCCTCGATTGCCACACCGCTCACATTGCTTGCAAGTTCTCTGAGCTCCTTGAGAAGATTGACCGCCGTACCGGTAAGGCTGTTGAGACCAACCCCAAGTTCATCAAGTCTGGTGATGCTGCCATCGTCAAGATGGTTCCCTCCAAGCCTATGTGTGTTGAGTCCTTCACCGACTTCCCTCCTCTCGGTCGTTTCGCTGTCCGTGACATGAGACAGACCGTTGCTGTTGGTGTCATCAAGAGCGTCGAGAAGTCTGCTGGCGCCGCTGGTAAGGTTACCAAGGCTGCCCAGAAGGCCGGCAAGAAATAAGCTGGTTAATATGTGCGGGGATGCAATTATGAACCTTTTATGAGCACAAAAATATGGAATTCTCATGAATTTAGACTTGAGTTATGTAGTTGATCCTACAAACTTGAATCATGACTTTTTTCGTTATATCTGTTTTCTGTAGACCGTAAGCTGTTTTCTGTGAATTGCCGCATGGGATCTCTTGGCCTATTCACATTCAACCATGCCCCTCCCGGTGTAACTGTGACTGTTCCTTCAGTCTACGGTGTCTGCAGGTGTAACCCCTGCTGTCACTAGTTTCTTGAGAAGACATGCTTGTCGGGGTCCTCATCGCGATGCTTATCTCCTGCTAGCTAGTATTCATCGATCAATGTCCTTTCTTGCACCATCAACAACCTGTACATGTATTATCATCAAGCCCTGCATGGTTGGCATCGCACCCTTGAGTGTATGGGAAGTACCAATGTCCTTGGATATTTTATACTCTTAGAACTCTGTTCATATCAGAGAACCCCTGATGGGTCTGTTCCGTCGCGAAATATATTCCCTGGTGGCACAGTGAAATTGAGATTCTACGAAATATATATTCAGACTTTCCACTATTAAGTAGCTTAAGTTTACGCCAAATAGCTTCCACAAAACAGTACACGCTCGTCGTGGATTAGAGAGGCGTTTTGCGTTCAATATATTCCTTATACTAGTGACAATGAGTATATGAGTGTCACCATTGTCAGCCACAACGCGATGCCTTTCTCCACGATAGTCGTTGCATATCAAGGGCGAATGAATTCATAGGTTCTTCTTTATAGTATGGTGTATAGTAGTCTACCCTTTAATTTTCATAGGACTTACAGGTGGAAGCTTTTACCCAACTCATCCACTAAAGTCATGTGTGGCAAGTGAAAGTCTATTCATTGTTCGAACTGACAGCAAATGCAAAGCAAATGCTCGCAATTAACTTTGCTTCCGCACGAACTACTCATCCTAACCCAATAGGGACCCCGGAGAATTACTTTTCCCTCCGACGATCTTACCTAAGGAGATCGACAAGTATCTGATCGCACTGGCCAATGACAATCCCGCATGGGCCACGCCCACGCTAACACCCAAGCAGCAAAATCAAAACAAACAAAGTGGAGTTGTTGTAGTTGTATCTATGGAGGGAAACGAATGTACGTTGAACTACTAGTGACCTCAACTGTAGGACTTGACAAACAACATCGATCATAGCTGTCAAGTACACAGAAGTAACCACTTAATAAGAGTGATCAATTAAGCCATTCCTCTTTATTTGACGTATATCCAATAAAGTGGCGCGGAAAAAGAACAGTGATGTCTCAGCCAAACATGTCCGGGCGGGTAACAGATTCAGGGTGGAACTGAATCGCATCTAGGCTCATTCCGCGGGAATGTTGGAATGCCAGAGGGATAAGTAGATGAGCTGAGATGAAGGATGAGGCATGAGACTCATAGCCAAGCAACAGGGTCTTTTCGATAACCACTGTAAGCGCAACTGTGTTGTAAGTAACGCAATGTACAGTACATACGAGCCCCGTGCTCGTACTCTAGTTGCCTATAGCACAGATACTATGATTTATAAACAACAACCAAACTCAATCACAATAGCAACAACACCTGTCATTCTCGGATCCTCCATAGATAGTAGAAGAAGAATCCATACGAACATCCCACGTTACACAGCATAACTTCTTCTTCTGAGCGTCCATTCACTTGCCGTTCCTGGGAACGGTTTGCCTGCAAGGTTTAACGGACGGCAACTGGCCGCGCTCATTTAAAACGAACCCCGGGTCAATCATCACACCCTCTCGGCTGTTCCTTTGCCGCTTGTTTTGTTTTCACTTTCCATCCCGCTTTCCCACCTCACTGCCTTTTTACCTGGAGATTTAATTTAATCGGTCCCGCTTCGGCTTATTGTGTGTTTTCTTTTTCTGCTCGTATATACTTTGAAATATTGAGATTAGGTATGGTTCCGGGGAATACCGTTCGTTCGCTCCAATCACTCACATCCGATCTCCTCCAGACCAGCGCTGAGAGCCGGTGCCTCAGCGCCTATTGAATGTCGTCTTGAAAACATGCTGTATATATCGCCGTCCACGCGCCAGACACTATCATCACATCTATAGGCCATTACAGAATCAGCAGGGGAATAAATTCCCCGAGAGCCCGCAGACGACAGACCATCCCAGACAGCCAGTCCGTTTTGCAAACTGACCGAATCACTCCGCCATGGACGGCCCACCCCCTCCTCCTCCCCCTCACGGCGAGAAACCGAACACCACCCACGGCCACGAATACCGGAAAGCGTCGGACCTGCCCGAAGGGAACTACGACATCTTCATCATTCCGCCGCATTCGTCTGGGTCAGGCTTCCTCTATCTCCCGTCGCTGCAATGCCAGCGGAATAGCTTCGCCGCGGGCTCGGTGTGCACCCTGTTGCTTGTCCTTGTGTGGTCTTTTATATCGCCCATTTTCAAGACGTGGTATATGGCTGCTGCCGCGAGTGGCGGCGGCGGCGGAGGGATGGGGATTGGTCTCTTAGGGATTGGGGTTGGCATTGCGGGATGGGGGTTCGGCGTGTATCAAGCTGGGTTTGGGGGCTCGGGGTTTGGAAGAAAGGGGGGTGGTGCTGGCTCCGGAAGTGCC